TTGTTTCCCAGCATACCAGCTTGACCCTCGTGAACCCACATGGCTCTAATTACAGATCCTCTGGAAAGCAGCTTAGTGCAGTACTTTGGAGAGAAATGGAAAGGCAAAGACTGTGATATTTGGAACACAGCTGGGACTTGCTGAGTCCTACTTGGAGATGTGTGTTGGATCCCCTTCCCACTGCTCCCCTGAGTGGACTTTGCACCTTAGTCTACACCCACTCTCACTGCAGATTAATGGTTCTGGTGTTCTTGGTGAACTGGGACAGAAAAAGGCAGAACTGAGCACAGCCCAGCTCCAATCCAAAATCAAACACCTCCACAAGCAGAAAGTGAACTCAGAGCTCGCAGGATTTCTCCTTACAGTGACCCAGAGTAGGGAAGACAAGAATGAAGTGCAAAGAGGCACGTGGAATGCCTTTGTCACAAAAATAAGTGTCTCCCCCATGGCAGCTGCTGGTACAGACTAAGGTCACCTACGGATAATCCATCTTCTTGGTGAAACAGGGAATTTCTGGTGTGCTAAAGCAGCCTTGCACTGGTTCCCAAAAGAAGTGAGAAAAGCCTCTGGTGCTGGAGGAAGAGTTTCAGTCCCACCACATTCCTCTTTCCCTAGTCAATATTATCATCCCCGTCTTACAGGGCAGGAAACCAAAACCATGTGGAAAGTTTCACAGGGAGACATTGGGTCTTCTATTTCCCACTCTATCTTATCTGTAAGACCCTCTTTTCCCACACAGATTACTTCAAGAATACCTCTCCCCTGAAACATGAAACACAACCTCCCCCCAGGCATGCAGAGGACATGTGCCATCACTGCCTCTTGTCGTACCTCTATGCCCCATATCTGCAGTCCCAGCTTCCTCTCGATGGTTGGCAGATTCGTGTCACCGTCTGTCATCCTGCGGCCTGAGCTGGAAGGCAAAGGAAGAAGAAAACCCAAAATAACTCTATAATTGGGTACAGCAGTAGGTGTGCTGGTCAGCTGGGCTCCTCTGACTGTCACTGGGGGTTTAATACAGATCATTCACACCTCAATGTGTCCTTCTCTCTCCGATGACCATCAACAGTCAAGTGGGATGAATCCCCATTCCCAGGCTATCCATGCTCATGGGGAGCCCAGCAAAGACTGGATAGGATGCTGCTGTTTTGGTGCGGGATTATTTTCCCCCTATTTGAATTGGTGGAAAGGATTCACCAGGGTGCTGGACCTGACTTCAGTACTGCTTTGTTCCCACCGTGGCATGAGGGATGGAGGAGACAACAGTGGCCCTCCAGGAGACCTCCTGGACCAGTGGCTGGAAGTCAGGTCAGGTAGCCGGACCCTGAGGCACTGGGAGCCCAGGAAATGAAGCCTTTCTACTTCAGGACGAGATTCAGCTCTACATGAAGACGGGTACCTCAGGTATCTCAGGGCAGGGCACAGGCCCTCGGCTCCATGAAGGTCAGTGGAGACACAGCCAGCACAGTCAGCAGAGCACATGGAGCGACCCAATCCATGACCAAGATGTTTATTTTACAGGCAGCTCTGCAGATTCCTAAGCTCTGCTGCCTGTATGGGGAAGACGTAGGTTTCAGGTTGCCCAGGACAGGCTGTGTTTGCGAAAGGGCAAGAGCCATATCAGCCTTTCCCTTGTGAGTCAATCCTGCTCACACATCAAGGCCCAGCCTCGAGAGAACACACGGCTCACTGATCCCTGTGCCCTGCATTCATCTGTCAGTGCCCTCCCTCGATTTGCATTTGCTCATGACAGACTGAACGACTGTGCTGTGTTAAAGACAACAACAACTCGATTGGCTGAGTTTTCTCCTCTGTCCTGGGATGAAAAGGCTGCACTGATTGTGGGCCATGGTCCCTCCTGCTCTCCTCTGCTCTGCTGCAAGGAACTCCTCACAAGGAGGAACAGAGCCATCCACGGCTGCCCAGCGCGGCACAGCCACTGCGCCACGGAGAGATGGAAGATAAGGGAACCTATTGCACAAAGCCATGGGAGCAGCTTCTTCTGAAGGAGGGAAAGGACTGAGACAGATGATCCCCCTGCCAGAAGGCGTGTTTGTTGTTTGTTTTACAAGAGCATGGAGAGATGTGCTGCACTTGGCACCACAAAGTCATAAGAAACATGTGCCGTCCCAAAGAGTTTGCACACTAAGTAAGAGCACAGAAATGGCTGTTCTACGTAGGAACATCGATCCACCCAGACCTTCCACAGCCCAGAGCTGCCAGATCCTGGCCCCTTGCACAGGCAGTAGGGAGATGCAGGTATTTCCAGGCGTGTTTTGAGCACAGCCCCAAGACCTCTCTGTTAACTGAGCAGGAAGCCACAGTCTGGCAGCACTGGTAGCAGGAGTCAGACGT